AGGCTGATTGAAGAAGGGAACTGCATTGCTGTTCAGTTGTCAGCTCTCTAATTTAAAGCATAGTTAATGCACAAGGAGCCATTTTCTATGCGTAAGAGTCTTTATTATTACCCGTGTATTCAGAATATTGCACGTTGAAGTAATGCAAAAAATTCTTCTGTCTTCATATGGAAGACAAGCTGAATTACATTTAATTTCAGGACTCAACAAACCTTGCTCATTTAAGCTGATGCCCCCTGGCCGCTGTGTCGTCCACTTGTTCATCTGCAGACTAGTGTATGGGGGAGTTGCGGTAGCAGTACCTTGGAGCAAACCACACACAAAAAAAACACACACAGAAAAGGATCTCTGTCAATTTTCCTTTTTTTTTGGTGTGCACTCATTTATTCTGACAGCCCTGACTCTCTTGTCATCGTGACTGCTCTGGGCAAGAATAGTGACTCATTGAACCCTATAGATACATCCGATTTTCATGTTTTTTTTCCCTATTTTGTGAGGCTAAGAAAGAGTCTAATCCAAATGCTGGTCTGGCTTCGCATACATGGATGTGCGGAAGACGTGCTGATGGGTAATCTTTTGAGACAGAGTGGGAAATGCAAGTGCTGTGCTTATCACAAACAACATTGGTCATCACTGTAAAAAAACATGTTGGCAGAGTTAGATTTAAATTGCCTGTAATTTTATGACCCTTTTCTGAGAAAATACGCTGTCTGGTTAAGTCACATGGATTTTGAGATTGAATGATGGTAGGTGTGTTTTTACTGTTTTTTTGAGGATATATTTCCCAAAAGTACTTTAAATAATAAACATCCAATGTTTGTTAAGGCCCTTTTTTGATGTTGCCTCAGTCGGATATCACAGGCATGTTTCGCAGCAGTGAAATTTTTGCCCTCAAAAAGCCATTATGCATTGGCCGGGAATCGAACCCGGGCCCGCGTGGCAGGCGAGAATTCTACCACTGAACCACCAATGCTTGTTGAGGCAAGTTTTGGATGTTGCCTTACTGGGATTTTACAAGCCATTTTTCGACATTGTGAAATTTTTGACGTCAAAAAACACATATGCATTGGCCGGGAATCGGAAGAAATTTACCACTGAACAACGATGCTTGTTAATGCCCTTTTTTGATGTTGCCTCAGTCGGATTTCACAGTCTATCCCTGGGTTTAATTCCCGGCCAATGCCTCAGTCGGATTTAACAGGCCATCTTTCGAAGGTGTGCAAATTTTGCCCTCAAAAAGAACTTCTGCATTGGCCGGGAATCGAACCCGGGCCTCCCGCGTGGCAGGCGAGAATTCTACCACTGAACCACCAATGCTTGTCAAGGACCTATTTTGACGTTGTCTCAGTCGGATTTAACAGGCCATCTTTCGATGGTGTGAAATTTTTGCCCTCAAAAAAACCCTCATGGATTGGCCGGGAATCGAACCCGGGCCTCCCACGTGGCAGGCGAGAATTCTACCACTGAACCACCAATGCTTGTCAAGGATCTATTTTTACGTTATCTCAGTCGGATTTAACAGGCCATCTTTCGATGGTGTGCAAATTTTGCCCTCAAAAAGAACTTCTGCATTGGCCGGGAATCGAACCCGGGCCTCCCGCGTGGCAGGCGAGAATTCTACCACTGAACCACCAATGCTTGTCAAGGACCTATTTTGACGTTGTCTCAGTCGGATTTAACAGGCCATCTTTCGATGGTGTGAATTTTTTGCCCTCAAAAAAACCCTCATGCATTGGCTGGGAATCGAACCCGGGCCTCCCACGTGGCAGCCGAGAATTCTACCACTGAACCACCAATGCTTGTCAAGGATCTATTTTTATGTTATCTCAGTCGGATTTAACAGGCCATCTTTCGATGGTGTGACATTTTTGCCCTCAGAAAAAACCCTTATGCATTGGCCGGGAATCGAACCCGGGCCTCCCGCGTGGCAGGCGAGAATTCTACCACTGAACCACCAATGCTTGTCAAGGCCTTATTTTGACGTTGTCGGATTTAACAAGCCATGTTTCGAAGCAGTGAAATTTTTACCCTCAAAATGCACTTTTGCATTGGCCGGGAATCATACCCGGTCTCCCTTTTGACGTTGCCTCTGTTGGATTTCACAGTCTATCTTTTGAAGGTGTGAAATTTTTGCCCTCAAAAAAACCCTTATGCATTGGCCGGGAATCGAACCCGGGCCTCCCGCGTGGCAGGCGAGAATTCTACCACTGAACCACCAATGCTTGATGGGCCCTATTTTGATGTTGCCTCAGTCAGATTTTACAGGCCATCTTTCGACAGTGTGATTTTTGACGTCAAAAAGCCCTATTTTGAAAAAAAAAAAAAAGCCCTATTTTGACGTTGTCTCAGTCGGATTGAACAGGCCATCTTTCGAAGGTGTGCAAATTAAGCCCTGAAAATACACTCATGCATTGGTATGAAGGTATGAATGTTGCCTCACTGGGATTTTACAGGCCATCTTTCGACAGTGTGAAATATACACCCTCATGCATTGGCCGGGAATCGAACCCAGGCCTCCCTGGGTTTGATTCCCGGCCAATGCCTCAGTCGGATTTAACAGGCCATCTTTCGAAGGTGTGCACATTTTGCCCGCAAAAAGAACTTCTGCATTGGCCGGGAATCGAACCCGGGCCTCCCGCGTGGCAGGCGAGAATTCTACCACTGAACCACCAATGCTTGTCAAGGCCCTAATTTGACGTTGTCTCATGCGGATTGAACAGTTTTGATTCCCGGCCACTTTTGCATTGGCCGGGAATCATACCCGGTCTCCCTTTTGACGTTGCCTCTGTTGGATTTCACAGTCTATCTTTTGAAGGTGTGAAATTTTTGCCCTCAAAAAAACCCTTATGCATTGGCCGGGAATCGAACCCGGGCCTCCCGCGTGGCAGGCGAGAATTCTACCACTGAACCACCAATGCTTGATGGGCCCTATTTTGATGTTGCCTCAGTCAGATTTTACAGGCCATCTTTCGACAGTGTGATTTTTGACGTCAAAAAGCCCTATTTTGAAAAAAAAAAAAAAAGCCCTATTTTGACGTTGTCTCAGTCGGATTGAACAGGCCATCTTTCGAAGGTGTGCAAATTAAGCCCTGAAAATATTTTTTATTAGCATTATTAATAATTTCGAAGCAGTGAAATTTTTACCCTCAAAATGCACTTTTGCATTGGCCGGGAATCATACCCGGTCTCCCTTTTGACGTTGCCTCTGTTGGATTTCACAGTCTATCTTTTGAAGGTGTGAAATTTTTGCCCTCAAAAAAACCCTTATGCATTGGCCGGGAATCGAACCCGGGCCTCCCGCGTGGCAGGCGAGAATTCTACCACTGAACCACCAATGCTTGATGGGCCCTATTTTGATGTTGCCTCAGTCAGATTTTACAGGCCATCTTTCGACAGTGTGATTTTTGACGTCAAAAAGCACATGCATTGGCCGGGAATCGGAAGAATTTTACTACTGAACAACGATGCTTGTTAATTCCCTTTTTTGATGTTGCCTCAGTCGGATTTCTCAGGCCATCTTTCGAAGAAGTGAAATTTTTACCCTCAAAATGCACTTTTGCATTGGCCGGGAATCATACCCGGGGCTATCTTTCGAAGGTGTGAAATTTTTGCTCTCAAAATGCACTCATGCATTGGCCGGGAATTGAACCCGGGCCTCCCGCGTGGCAGGCCATCTTTCGACAGTGTGAAATATATACCCTCATGCACTGGCCGGGAATTGAACCCAGGCCTCCCTGGGTTTGATTCCCGGCCAATGCCTCAGTCGGATTTAACAGGCCATCTTTCAAAGGTGTGCAAATTTTGCCCTCAAAAAGATCTTCTGCATTAGCCGGGAATCGAACCCAGACCTCCCACATGGCAGGTGAGAATTCTACCACTGAACCACCAATGCTTGTTGAAGCCCTATTTTGACGTTGTCTCAGTCGGATTGAACAGGCCATCTTTCGAAGGTGTGCAAATTAAGCCCTGAAAATACACTCATGCATTGGTATGAAGGTATGAATGTTGCCTCACTGGGATTTTACAGGCCATCTTTCGACAGTGTGAAATATACACCCTCATGCATTGGCCGGGAATCGAACCCAGGCCTCCCTGGGTTTGATTCCCGGCCAATGCCTCAGTCGGATTTAACAGGCCATCTTTCGAAGGTGTGCACATTTTGCCCGCAAAAAGAACTTCTGCATTGGCCAGGAATCGAACCCGGGCCTCCCGCGTGGCAGGCGAGAATTCTACCACTGAACCACCAATGCTTGTCAAGGCCCTAATTTGACGTTTTCTCAGTCGGATTGAACAGGCCATCTTTCGAAGGTGTGCAAATTAAGCCCTCAAAATACACTCATGCATTGGTATGAAGGTATGAATGTTGCCTCACTGGGATTTTACAGGCCATCTTTCGACAGTGTGAAATATACACCCTCATGCATTGGCCGGGAATCGAACCCAGGCCTCCCTGGGTTTGATTCCCGGCCAATGCCTCAGTCGGATTTAACAGGCCATCTTTCAAGGTGTGCACATTTTGCCCTCAAAAAGAACTTCTGCATTGGCCGGGAATCGAACCTGGGCCTCCCGCGTGGCAGGCGAGAATTCTACCACTGAACCACCAATGCTTGTCAAGGCCCTATTTTGACGTTGTCTCAGTCGGATTGAACAGGCCATCTTTCGAAGGTGTGCAAATTAAGCCCTCAAAATACACTCATGCATTGGTATGAAGGTATGAATGTTGCCTCACTGGGATTTTACAGGCCATCTTTCGACAGTGTGAAATATATACCCTCATGCATTGGCCGGGAATCGAACCCAGGCCTCCCTGGGTTCGATTCCCGGCCAATGCCTCAGTCGGATTTAACAAGCCATGTTTCGAAGCAGTGAAATTTTTACCCTCAAAATGCACTTTTGCATTGGCCGGGAATTATACCCGGTCTCCCTTTTGATGTTGCCTCTGTTGGATTTCACAGTCTATCTTTTGAAGGTGTGAAATTTTTGCCCTCAAAATACACTCATGCATTGGCCGGGAATTGAACCCGGGCCTCCCGCGTGGCAGGCGAGAATTCTACCACTGAACCACCAATGCTTGTTGGGGCAAGTTCTGGATGTTGTCACATCCCGATTTTACAGGCCATCTTTCGACAGTGTGAAATAAATACCCTCATGCATTGGCCGGGAATCGAACCCAGGCCTCCCTGGGTTTGATTCCCGGCCAATGCCTAAGTCGGATTTAACAGGCCATGTTTCAAAGCAGTGAAATTTTTACCGTCAAAATGCACTTTCGCATTGGCCGGGAATCATACCCGGTCCCCTTTTTGATGTTGCCTCTGTTGGATTTCACAGTCTATCTTTCGAAGGTGTGACATTTTTGCCCTCAAAATACACTCATGCATTGGCCAGGAATTGAATCCGGACCTCCCGCGTGGCAGGCGAGAATTCTACCACTGAACCACCAATGTTTGTTGCGATAAGTTTTGGATGTTGCCATACCCGGATTTAACAGGCCATCTTTCGAAGGTGTGCAATTTTTGCCCTCACTGATTGGCCGGGAATCAAACCCAGGCCTCCCTCAAGGCAGGCAAGAATTTTACCACTGAACCACCAATGCTTGTTAAGGCCCTATTTTGACGTTGTCTCAGTCGGATTTAACAGGCCATCTTTTGAAGGTGTGCAAATTTTGCCCTCAAAATGCACTCATGCATTGGCCGGGAATCGCACCTGGGCCACAGCGTGGCAGGCAAAAATTCTACCACTGAACCACCAATGCTTGTCTGGGCAACTTGGTTACAGTAATATAAGGGTGCCCAAATTTGATCAAAATCTTTTAGTTTCCCTTTAACAACGTAAGCAAGTTTTTCCAAGGCAAGGTTGCTGGTCATTTCTTTAATCCAATTTACATGTCTATTATAAATAATGGTATAAAATCATTACAATTTGCACAAAAACAAACAATGTTTATTTTACACTGTGTATACTCTAAATGAACTATTTTGACTCATTATTATAGACACGGGAATTTAATTTGATTTGCTAATGCTGTTTTTTCTTTCTTTCACAGTCTTAAAACTACACTGAAAAAGAAATTAGCAAATGATACCGTGGATCTGTCTGGTATCCCACTTTCTGGGCGTGATTTGCATCGTGTGGCATACTACCTTCAGAACAATGGTTCATCTGTGACAGCAGTGGACATCAGCTTCACAGAGCTCCAGGATGAGAGCTTGCGACTTCTATTACCATTTTTAGGAGTGCTACCCAAACTCACCACACTTGCCATCAACGGTAACCGACTGACTGTAGCTATCCTTAAAGACCTGATAGAGGTGGTTAAGGACCCCAAAAAGTTTCCCAATTTGGCCTGGGTGGATCTGGGCAACAATGTGGACATTTTTACAGTGCCTCAGCCATTGCTGGTCGCACTACGCAGACGCTTTGGAATGAGAAGCAGCCTGCCTACCATCTACGAATACAGCGAGGGCCATGGCAGCAGCAGCTGCCTAGAGACTTCTATTGAGGAAATCAGTGTGTTTGAGGAAGAGGAGGATGAAATTGAAGACCATCTGATGCTGGAGCCCTGGAGTGTAGAAGAGAAAAATACACTACATTTCTGTGAGAGGTGATGGACCCTGGTTCCTTGTGGTTTGTTGTATTGTTCTTTTGTTGTTCTTATACCCTAAATTACAATGTATCAACATTGTAAAAGCATGAAGCGCCCCTTCAACACAAACCCAAACTTGAGTGTCATGAGACATAAAGTTGTTGCATGGAGGTGGGATTTTTAAAGTATTGAAAGGGGAAGGAGTATCAGGACACGTTCCACACTCCCACCATCTTTATTCTTAGTCCAGTTGCTGCAGAAAGAACCAGCCAATTGTTTGCCATGTTACAGTAAACTTAAATTTAGGGTCAAACACTGACTGACCACATACTGTATAACAAATTTGGAACACGTAAACCCATTACCACAAGCCAGTCTTTGCCACCCACATCAGCAGCCGATGTGAATATTTTAAGTTTAAGTTTTTTTAAGACAGATACAGTCAAATGCTCCCCTCTGAGAAGGCTTTTGTCCAGGGTACATTCGCCTCAATTAGAAGAGAGCGAGGAGAGGCGAGAGAAGAGAAGAGAGAAAAGGGGCTGCTGTAGTGCCTGCGGGCTAGAAGAGAGACTAATGTCTGTGTTTGAGTCTGTGTGTGTGTGTGATGTTGTTCCGATGCAAATGTAGCTTTAGCCAGAGCTCATTAAACAGGACACAGGCAGCCGAAAGACTAACAATGCGACATGAACGACGTGATTATTTTTTTTTTTAAATCGCATCCAGTTAGCTGTGAGAGGTAACATTACACGACGCGTAAACACCTGGCAGCGTCACATCAGCACAAGAACCATGTTTGTATGGTCACAGTGGAATTGATTTCAGTGTTTTATAAAAGAAATATGTCAATATTTTGTATTTTTTAAACAAATTTGATGTAACAAGAGTTAATTTATTAATTATTAATGCTGTGTGTGTGCGAACGCATGAGTGTTTGACAGTAAACGCGACCTTTTGAGTTGTTTTATGATGCCCTTTGCTCCACAGGAGGTGTTTCCTTTACAGACGCGTGTCTGATTTGCACTTTACATGGCGGGCTTTTCTAGTTGGCTGGCCATCTCCAGACGTTTTCGTTGTTTTTTTGTAATGTTTATGACTCCAACGTCTGTACTTTAATTGTAGTTCAATGTTCAGCTCTAGTATAAATCTCACAAACGGTGTGATTCTAATGGCTTTGAGCACCTGGATGTTCTTTCTGTTTTATGATTAACACTAATGAATGATTGTTCTTGCTATGTGAAATAAACACTGTGTGTAAAAAAATGGACATTCATGTGTTTGTGAGATGACAAAAATGATCCTTTTATAAGGGGCTGCTTTTGACAACATGCCTCGCAGACAGGTTGAACAGGAACTGGATCCATCCTGTTTTTACCTGCCAGATGTGTTTTTCTCTCATTTGTTTGCCAGAATGCATGTGCAGTAAGTAATTGCAGGAGTCAGCAGTGCTGTCAGTAAATACTGGGTTGTGTCGATATATTTTCTAACTTGATGAATGGAGTTAGACTTGGTTAGATCTAACAAAAATAAGTATTACAAGCGGTAGCACCCTGGTATTGAGTGATTTCTATACTTATAAATGGTGATATTTATTAAAGAATATCAGTCCCAAAACATGGTATTTTAGATAGCAAGTATGTGCTTTCCAGTATGTGATGTTGTCTTGTACCAAACGAAAAGCTCATTTTGACGAGGTTTTCTTTCCCTCTTCATTTCTCATCCCAGTGTGATCAATAGTGAGGGTTTCTCTGTGTCTCTGTTTGCTTAATGAGAACAGTGCTCTGTTTTAGCAGACAGCACTCTCTTAATGAGACTCCATAATTCATTTCAACAGCTGGCAGCTTTCACAGGCAGCCTCTGGATCTCTGCGACATATATAAAGCTCTAATTTACTAATGCAGCATTCTCATTATCTTTTTATTTTAGTTTATTTGAAGAAAAAAACATACTCAATAAGTTCTCCTTCATATGTTTAGGATTGTTTTATTCATATAGTGGATGAATATATATATTGGAATATATGTTTAACCCCCCCCAATAATTAATTTCCCTTAATAATTCTCTTAATATTCTATGCATAATATGGTTAAATAAATTAAATGTATTTAAATGAAAACATTGGGCAACACTTTACAAGAAGATTTCATTAGATAACGTTAGTGAAGTAGTTACTGTAACAAACTAATAATGAACAATAATACTTTCACAGCATGTATGAATCTTAGTTACATTTATTCCAACGCATTCTCACCCCAAGGCGTCACCTTTGACCATGCTTCAATATTTGACGTTTTAGGCGCCCTTTAGCGTCACTTACATCATGACGCGATCCTACGGCGTCATCAAACTGACGCTAAAGGAAAGCGTCTGTTAGAGGACGCGGTTAGGTTTAGGTGTGGGGGTAGGGTACACGCGATCCTAGGGCGTCATCTTACTGACGCTAAAGGGCGCCTAAAGCGTCAGATATTGAAGCATGTCCAAATGCTTCCCAAGGCGTCAGTTAGGTGACGCCTTGGGAGTGAGAATGGGCTGTTTATTCCTAAAGGTAATGAATAAAGGTAGCCTACATAAATACATAAGAAGTAAAATTCTTTCACAAAATTGTTGGTTTTTTTTCATTCAGGGATTTGCACTGCTCAAATTTATATGGAGATGTTTTCAATGAAAATATTATCCATTATTTTTTTTAAATAATGTGATGTGTTTGTGTAACGTTTTTAAATATATACATAAAAAGTAAAAATATTGCAAGAAACTGATTTTGTAGTCATGTGATTTGCACTGCTCAAGTTTATACCAAGAGAATTTAAATGAAAAGATTATACATTTATTTTTTTAACAATGTGGTGTGTTTAAATAAATACATAAAAAGTAATTATTTGCACAAAATTGATTTTGTCATCCCGATTTTTATATATACAATGTAGGCTAATGTGTTTATTTACAAGGTTTTATAAATACATAAAAAAGAACAATTATTGCATACATTTGATTAAGTCTAACTGGGTTTTTGTACTGGTCCTTTGGTAATCTGGTGGTGTGGAATAAAACATCGGTAGCGAGTTTGAAGCTTTTTGTTGGTTTTACAGTAACACTGTAACCCTGAAAATGTCAATGACCTTTGATTCGTTCAACTCCCCAATGCACATGACAGGAAAAAGCAGCTTCAATCCTCTTGTGTGAAGTGCAGTTGTGCCAGATGATTTATGAAGGTTCACTGCCCTTTATGAACAGTGTGTTTTAAGACATATCTCGTGCGTTTGTGGTTGATTTGTTCCATGTGTTTGGTCATTTCAATGACCTTGGTTGCAAAATTCAGTTGTTTTTTTTACCAGACAAATGGTCCAGCTGCCTGTCTCTGGGGTGTCTTTCAGTGTCTCTGGGGGTTTTTACTTGCACCTTTTATGGGCTTAACAACAAGCCGTGAAACTCAAATCGGCATGAAATTAATGACACAAGGGAATTTACGCGTTTGTAACACATAGTGTTCCTAGAAAACCAGAAGGTTCTGGGAAAACTAAACTGGACTGGTGCAACTCTTCTGGGTATTTTGAAATTTCCTGTAACACGGTCATGTTTTCAGACACAACATATGAGCAGATGTGATCTAAATTCACAATGCAAATTACTATGTTTAATAGTAGCTTATTTAATGATGGTTACATAAAAATGTTAATGTATTAAGTTTAAATACATAAAACATTTAACATTTCATTTAAATGAAATAGATCATCAATGGAAGTAACATCATCGAAATATGTATGTTTTACAAAAAAGTATAAGCAAGTTTTTGAGATGAGATACAACTTCTGACTGAGTGATAACAAAGTTTGCCCAGTTTGTTATCCTTTCATTTAGTAGGTCTACTTCAATTTCAGTTTACAGATAGCCTGCTGAAGGTTCACGTTTTATGGTCCATGTCGCCCCCAACTGGACAAATGTTTGAACTACTCTAACATGTGAAGGACCAAAAGATCTGCAAAGATGACCGCAAATAAAGTCTAGACATAAAATATAAACTAACAGAAAATAAAACGGAAATGTATATATATTCAACCCTTAAACAGGCAATGTGTCTCATGAGATACATAGTTTTTATTGTATTTTTGGGGGGCATAAGAAAGATTTTTTTCAACAGATCTTTAATCACTTATGAGCTTGGTCTGTCTGTATGCTGTGTGAGGATTTGCTTCACATTTTTTCTGTGATCAATTAGTCAGCCTGACCTAAATCCAACATGGTTGCCAGTGCCAGTGGTGTAGAACATTCAGACATTTAGATTACTAAATATATTAAACTTACTTTTCTTCTGAAAAAAAAAGAATACTGCTAACATTAATTGTGAACATTGTCTTAAGGTGCTGAAGGAGAAAATGAAGTAATATGTTGTTATTTAACACATTTTGAAATGTATGTCTCCTGAGACACATTGCCTGTTTAAGGTTTAACATATACAGTACAATTTTAACTAAATCTGATATGCAAATGGGCTGGCTGGGTCAGAGTGTTAAGATCATGTCTATGGTTAAGATGGTGGAGTCACCGCAGCCTGCAGGAGAGAGAATGCAGTTGTTTATTTCCACATCCTTGCTCTCACACTCTCAAGTTCAACGCTCAGGTGAGAACAGGCACACGACACGCTTATCTATCTAGCTATCTGAGAGAGAGAGAGAGAGAGAGAGAGAGAGAGGGGGGGGGGTGGTAAAGTTCATATCATTCATGTAGTATTAGATTACAAGCAAGATTGCTTTTACTTTTGACAAGTGAAAGAAAGTTGAGTATTTGCCATGTGTCAGAGTGAAGTGATGCATGTAGGCCTACTAGCCAAAGTAAACAAACCTGAGAAAGAAGTGGCCAAGTTACAGTAATGAAATATGTTTCCGTGAAAACTTGCAGAGATAGTTTACTCACCCACGTTGTTCCAAAACCCGTAAGACTCACTTTTGTTTACCTTATGACTAAAAATGAAGATTTTTTTAATGATTTCTGAGAGCTTTCTGTCCCTCCACTGACAGCTATGCAACTGACACTTTAACGCTTCAAGTAGTTCAAAAAACTATGAATTAAGTGTTTTAGTCCAAAATTTCGTTCACTTTATATGATGAACAGATTTAATTTAGGTTTTAAGGACAAGAGGGTGTCTATTATAGTAGCCTAATTACAGCAATGGCAAAATTTAAATGTTTGGGTCAACTATCCATTTATGGCAAACATTTCTAACAGTTTATTATGAAGTGTCGAAGCCACCTTTGTGAGAAACTAAATCAACAAGTGGAATTTGGAAACAAATGTTCCATGAAAAAAGGGATTAAACTAGCCCTATTTAAAATGGTCGTGTTTTACAGAAGTCAGCAGATTATTGCTAAAGTGAAAGCGCTTGAAAAAATTAAAATATGAAAAACTTAAGGGAGTTTAAAACTTACGTTAAATCAAATACTGTACCTACTTAATATGTATTCTTTTCTTTTATAAAATATTTTACAAAATATTTTTTTATAAAATTACTATAGAATCAAAGCCATATATCTAACCAAGTTGTGTTCAAAATTTGAAGTTGATATCACAAAAGTTTTGAGATTTTGTTTAGGCATAATCCCAAAAAGCCAGGTGACTTACATTCAATTCAATTTAATTGTATGCATTCTGCCATAACAAATTAAAACTTCTGTCCAAATATCACCTCCGTCACAATATGGAATTTTGAGACTTAGACCTTTCTGACAATATGTGTTTTGTCAAGATCAAAAAAGGCTTTGATCATAAATTATGAAACATGACAATGCCCAAAGGGAGAGGAGCCCCTTAAAAGAATTTAGAGTACCGTTTCTATGGTAACACAACGTCCAATTTGAAAACGGGTTTAACAGGCTGAATCTTGAGGTCGTAAACTTTCGAATGATATATGATTTGTCAATAGATCAGGTGAAGAATGGGATATAATTGTTTTAATCATACAGTAGCAGTAACAGTTAACAGATTAATGACATGGTCCTTTTTATATCCTAATCAGGAGACACAACTCATAAAATCCAAATCAAATATTTTTCAAAATTGTTTTGGATATGTTTTATTTAAGTCCACATGATATTTAAAAAATTTAATGAAATTAGTATTATTATTATTATTATTTTGCTTAACATTTTCCACTCTTGCTTGTTAAAGTGTTAAACGCTAAAACTGATTTTTTCACTAAACGCATTACAGGTGATATGTGTGCTTACGCATTTAACATCGGTGTATAGAATTGTTTTAAAAAAATATGAGAAA